AACCCCCTTAGTGTAAAGGGTAGGAATGTATAAACGTAGTTAAATAAAACGTTAGTTTTACCTTCTTCTTCGGATGTGTACAATCATAATGGGGAAAAAAATTATGCCACTGAAAGATTTAATTTAAGAAATATGTGCTCAGTGATTGTTCGTTTTCAGGAGGTATTTAAAAATTTTAATTCATTAAATTTTATATAGATTTTAATATAATTAAAACAAGGTGAAATTTAGAAAAATGGAACAAACATTATGTCCTTTGTGACAATGTACTATTTTTTCTTTAATTAACACTCACTAAGTGACTCTTCCAGAATTCTAGTAAAAGATACAATGCATTTGTCCATCCAAGACAGGTATTGAGGCTGGGCATGATTGTTCATGCCTGTAATCCCAGCACTTTGAGAGGCTCAGGTGGGACAATCACTGAGGCCAGGAGTTCGAGACCAGCCTGGGCAACACAGTGAGACCCTATCTTTATTTAAAAAAAGAAAAAGTTTTATATTGAATGCAACCGCTAAATCTTAGCCAATATGCTAAGAACTGGGGTTTTATAAGTACCAACACAGACACAGTCTTTACTATAGTTTATAGGGAAGATAAACGCATACATATACCCACAAAGCTGATTGTACCATACATGTGAGAATGATCATAGAGAGAGCCACTGGTGAACCTATAGAAAGATCATTTTACACAATGGGATGATGGAAAGAGAGTGTATTTATTAGTCTATTTTCACACTGCTGATAAAGACACACCCAAAACTGGGGAATTTACAAAAGAAAGAGGTTTAATTGGACTCACAGTTCCACATGGTTGGGAATAACTCACAATCATGGTGGAAGGCAAGGAGTAATAAGTCACATCTTACGTGGATGGTGGCAGGCAGAAAAAAGAGAGAGCATGTTTGTGCAGAGGTACCCCACCTTATAAAGCCATTACATCTCGTAAGACTTACTCACTATTACAAAGATGGCATGGGAAAGACTTGCCCCCATGATTCAATTACCTCCCACTAGGTCCCTCCCACAACACCTGAGAATTCAAGAGAGATTTGGGTGGGGATATAGCCTAACCACAACAGATAGCAAAAAAGAAAAGGTTAGAAAGGCTTTGGGAGTAAGGCCTAAGTTAAATCTTACATAGGAGTTACACAAGTAAAGGACAGAAATAGGGACTACAAGTAGAAAGGGATTCCAGAAGGAGGAGATGACATGAGCAAAGAAAGAGATATGACAGATAGCATGGGGTATGGGGCATTTGCTAGTAACTGGGTTTTGATGAACATAGTGTTAGGAAGTGTTGAGAGAGAAGGTGAAAGACAGGCAGAGGGGCCACATATACATTCCAAGAGGTTGGGCTTTATCCTGTATGTGCCAATGAGACACCAAAGGATTTAATTAGGGTTCTAAAGTGGTTAGAATTGTATTTTAATTATATCATCATAACTGTCTATAAGATGAAGACACTTTAAATACCTTAGTGGTATTAAGAAGATAAAAGAGAAAAATAATTTGAGAAATACTTGAGAGACAAAATCAATACCTATGTAACAATTGATTAGAAGTGGTTAGTAAAGTTTACAGTAGTTTTGGGGAAAAATCCTGGCTTCTAGCTAAGTGGATTACAGAGCCGCCAATCAAGACAAAGAACATACATGAATGTATCTGGGATAAAATCAGTTTGTTTTTGAAACTGCTGAATTTAGAATGTCATGTGATAACCAGAGGGAAATGTCCAGTAGCTAGCTGGATTTGTGAGTCTGTAGCTGAGGACAGACATGTATGTGGTAACGAGAGTTTGGGGATTTTTAATATGTGGGTAATCACTGAAAACATTTAAAAAGATGAGATTATCCAATAGAGGTTTGCCAAGTAAAGCATCCTGGAGAACATGAACATTTAAGGGTTGTGTAGAAAAGATGTCATGAAAGAGGCAAATACTTCCAAAAGTCTGAGAACCAGAAGGGTATGATGTCAGGGAACAGAGAGCCAGGGAGAGTACAATAAATTCTGAATTGTTTCCACTGAATTTGGAAATCCAAAGGTCACTGGAGAACTATGTCAGAATCATTTCCATGGACAAATAAGAGAACAAGCCAGATTGTAAATAGCTGAGAAATGAACAGGAGATTAAATACAACAATATTCTTGGTAGGGAAGAAGAGAAGAAATAAGATGAAATATTGAGTGTATGGAGAAGTAGATATAATTGATGAATTATTTTCGATGGGAAAGAAAAGCCTTTGGCTAAGAGGACGAAAACAGAAAAAAAAAAAAAAAAAAAAAAAAAAAAGGAACAAGTTGAAGATATAGGAGATAGACATTTCAAAGGAATAGAAGTGACAGAAGGACTGCCAGGACAAAAGAGAAGGGACCTAAGAGGAAGCAGATACTTTCTTGTGCATGTTCTCAATCCACAAATGCAACATCTGTCTGCCCAGGGCCCAAAGGTTGGCACAATATGCTGCTACAGGGTGGTTAATTGAAATGGAATCAACTAGACCAGATTGTCAAGTCCAACTTTCACATACTGCCAGAATAGGCGTGTATGTTTTGGTATTTGACAAATACAATCTTGAAATTAAGAATGAACTGAACTACATTCAATGAATGATCTACATTCAAGGAAATGTTTAAGCATGTATGTTTTCACCTGACAGGCCAACTCCCTCTTTTCTATGCTGTTTGAATTTTCATAAATAATTTTCACAATCAGGAAATATATTGTGTGTTTGTTTTGTTTTGTTTTGAGACAGTCTTACTCCTCTGTCGCCCAGGCTGGAGTGCAGTGGCATGATCTTTGCTCACTGCAACCTCCATCTCCCAGGCTCAGTGGATTATCCTGCCTCAGCCTCCCCAGTAGCTGGATTGCAGACACACGCCCCCATGCCTGGCTAATTTTTTTGAATTTTTAGTAGAGACGGACTTTCACCATGTTGCCCAGACTCAAATTCCTGCCTTCAAGTGATTTGCCCTCCTTGGCCTCCCAAAATGCTAAGATTACAAGTGCAAGCCAGCATCCCCAGCTAGGAAAAATATTAAGTATTTTCACTGTGACCATAAGAAGGTCAATGGGCTAGGGAAGTTAAAGGAAAACAGCTGACTAAATTCAATGAGTAGGAAATGAATGGAGTCTTTTGTTTTGTTTTTTGTTGTTTTTGCAGCATTAGTCCAGAAACCATTACTCTCAGAAGGAAATATACATTTAATCAGAAAAAAATATATACAAACATTGAAAACAAACTAATTTTATATATTCACGAGAAGTAACAGACTTATTTTTTAAATGCTCTATAATTTTGCATTGTTTATCTTTTAGGGTCTGTAGACCAACCCATTTCTACTAGTCCTATTTCTCTAAGATTTTACATTCATCATAGTATAATTATGAAAGGAAGAAATACTACGAAGGTCAGACCAGAAAAAGTAAAAAATAGATTAGCAAAACTTTTTTTTTCACTCCTTAAGTAGCTATTCATGACACAAATGTTTGAATTAAGAATATAGGTGTGTGGTACAAATCCATAATTAATATTTAGGAAGAGGTTTCAAAACAACATACCTTGTTCTATTTGTGATATTCTTCCATACCATTAATATTACATATTTACTTCCTGTAAATCTCCATTATTCTTATATGGAGCTATGTACTAGATGTGAAATAGAGGTAATAGGAGGAAACATCCTAATCATAGCAACATGGATTGGCAAAACTTTTGATAATTTTTATATATTTGTGAGTATAGAGCACTGAGTTGCTGCCACATAAAGTTTTTAAAGCTAATGCACATGATTTGAAAAATTATTTTTTGTATTGAGTCATTGTAAAATAATATTTAGTGGCTCTGTTACTGTGAACTATATGCAAAATTACACTTCCAATATTTTTTAAACTATTCCTGGGCATTTATTTTACCCCATTTATTTGAAGGTCATTTCAGTCAATTTTTTAAAAGTTACGGGTTTTGCAGATTAAAGTAATATGATAATTACTATGTATTGATTTTTAAAATCTTGAGTATTTTCATCTAAAATCATTGCCTACATTTCCTAGATTTTACAATATTTATTGAAATTTTAGTCTCCTTCATGAAGGCCTAATAAATTTCTTACTAAATGTATTTTTAAATCCTAAAGTTGTCTCCATTGTGCATAGATTTTTTTTTACTCTTTCATTTTCCATGACTATTGGAGATAATATTGTTTGGCAGGAGCAGAAAATTAATAAATGCATTCATAAATATATGCATTTTAAATGAGAAAATGGCATACTATTTGAGAAAGAGGATACAATAATCGCAAAGATCCTGAGATAGGAGAGTAGTCTTGAAGTTTAAGAAACAGAAAGACGCAAAAGAGCGTAACAGAAAGAGCATAAAGAGAATAACAGTGGAATGGGAGATAAGGTCAGAGATACCAGATCACGTAGGTCATTGTCAGAACATTGGCTTCTACTCTGAAAAGACTGATGATAGAATAAAAGCAAGCAAGTCAGCTGTTCTTTTCAGAAATATCTGAAGAAAACTCATCATGATGCAGTCAAATATTCAAATCCTCCTATTCACCTATGCTCTGTAGGAAGGATCTGTGCATGCTTCAGTTTCTTCTTGGCTTCAGTATGTGAATCCTGGCTTTCAGGGTCTCATCCAGTCTGAGTCCATGGTTCTGCATCAGTTGCTCACACCATAGCCACCATAGAACACAGTGCCTCACTTGCACACAGGCACCCATGGACATTCACATCCGCTTTACTTAGGACTAGCAGACACGTAGGAGTTAGTGATGAAGGGCAGGGTGACTGTGCAGTCGCTACCTTTCTAAAGCCTCCTGCTACAGAAACCAAAACTACACACACACACGTATAGAAGTATAGACATATATACATACACCTTGATTTAATTCCATAGTGCTCTCTTCATTTCCACCTTCTCATATCTCAAAGAAAACAATAAAATAAAATCACCAATTGAAATAAAGATATTTCTGTATTCCAACAGATAACATTTATGACAAGTATTTATTTCATTTTTTTATAATGAACTTTGTGTTACAGATCATATTGTTCAATAAACAGCAGTTAATGTAGACAACTGGCAAAATAGCAATCCCAAAAGTCTTGGCTGGGTACGAAGCTGTAGTTGGGCTCTTCATAAAGTTATCCTTGATTGTGGATTCACACTTGCTTGAAACAAGAAGGATATATATAATTTTAAAAATCAACAATATTTTTCCAGGACTTAATATTTACTATGTATTGTGCTAAACTCGCCATACATATGGTTATCTCAATCTTCAACAACTGAGTGTAGTAAACATTACTGATATTTTACTATTACAGAAGAGGACATATACAGGGGCACACACATGTCAAGGGGCACAGCTGGTCTTGTCTGACTCCAAATCCTGGGGACCTAACATCTACTCTGTGTTTACAGAACCACACAAAAGAGTGAAAGTATCCAAACTAAAGAGTATAAAGCCTCTGCAAAGATATAAAGCTGTGCTACAAAATCTCCAGTTCCAGTTGACCTGTTGAGCAGTTCCAGATGTGCTTTAGTCAGCCTCATATGGGTTTCAACAGAGAGGGTTGTGCAGGAATAGCTGTCTATTCTAACCTGATGGTGCAGGCCAAACACGACAATTTTCGCTCCGGATCACTCTGTCCCTTAAAGATGTGGCTTCTAAACTGAGGACATTAACTGAAACCTCTGCCTTCTGGTCTGTCTCCTGAACACCAAAGTGTACTTTGATATAATGAAATGTGTTATACTAATTTCAACTATTCATATAAAAGAGGGAGAAAGAGAAAGAGAGTAAATATACTGTACCCAATCTCTCAAATGTAAAATTTCATGATTGATATAACTTATCTAAACCATCATAACCATTTGTGGACAAGTTCTTTTCATGATTATGGTATTGGGTATGATCTCTTGCACTAATAACTGAACCCCTCCATTCTTCCCTTCTCTGGTTAAACTGCTGAAGGCTGGGTAAGAATCATGCAGTGTGGAGCCTTCTGTACAACACACTTCACAGCAGCCCTTTGTGTCTGATTGAGGTAGCCCTTTAAAGCTTCTGAAGAGTTCTAATTGTTAGAAAGTGATATATTAGATGGAAACTGTTGTCCTTACCTAAAAATGACATTCTTTGTTCTTAGCTCTGACACTTTGAGATGCAAAGTAGCTTTTGAATCGTTCTTTAGGTACATGACAAGTGACCCACTCATCCTCCTTCCTGAATCTTCTTTTTTTGTGGGCGAAATATGTCCATGTCCCTCTTTTCAGCTGTTCTTCCAATGAAGCCATATCCCCATGCTCTCTTGCTAGAATGGCCATTCTTTAAGACATTTTAACTTTTTACAACTTCATTTAAGACAAAGCCCAGGAACTAAATGATATTCCAGACACATTCTTAGCATTGCAGAATATAGTAAAAAGATGTGACCTTCTTTTCTTGGACACTAGATATTTACTAACATAGATTAAGTTGGCATCAATTTGTTTCACAGCCACATGAGATGGCTGAATCATACTGCACGTGGAGCTAATGGGCTCATTTTTAATTTTGTTGTTTATGTTTATTTTACATGAACATCAGCAGTTTCCTATTTAAGGTGGTGGTGTTTTTTTTAATAGACATCACATGATGTATTAAAAAGGGCATTGGACTTAAAGTCATAATGTGTAGGTTAACTTTCTACAACAACATTAATGAATTCATTCAACAACATTTGACAAACTCATGAACTTACTATTTAACCTCTCACAATTTATGTTTACACATCTTTACTTGATAAAATTTCTTTACTCATCTTGGCCTTAATAAATATTAAAGATAAGTATGTCAAAAGGAGTTTGTAAAGACCAGTGTGTGATCATTAATTATTGTTTTTTAATGAACCCAAATGAAAATGTTTTCATTAATTCCTCTTAATAACGTGTAAGATTTACCCAACTATTTCTGTGCCAAGAGACTTGCTAAGAAATAGAATTAGAAATTTAATTTAAGATATACCTAATCAGTATGCGTGTGTATATACCAGATGGTTGGACTATATGGAAAAGTAATTGCAATGGTTAATACCGAGTGTCAACTTGATTGAATTGAAGGATGCAAAGTATTGACCCTGGGTGTGTCTGTGAGGGTGCTGCCAAAGGAGATTAACATTTGAGTCAGTGGACTGGGAAAGGCAAACTATCCCTTAATGTGGATGGGCACCATTTAATCAGCTGCCATTGAATATAAAAAGTGCAGAAAAACGTGAAAAAGCTAGACTGGCTTAGACTCCCAGCCTAACATCTTTCTCTTGTGCTGTATGCTTTCTGCCATCAAACACTGGACTCCAAGTTCTTCAGTTTTGGGCCACGACAGGCTATCCTTGCTCCCCAGCTTGCAGACAGCCCATGTCGAACCTTGTGATCCTGTGAGTTAATACTTAATAAATTCCCCTTTATATATATTCACCAGTGATGAATATTCATCTTATTCATCAAGAAGTAAAGCTAATCTGCTGGGATATAACGACTACTACTACTAACTATGTCTCAGGCCAGGCCACACTGAAGCCAAGGTGAGCACTTTTCCAATGTTCTCAGGAAGCTGTATCTGTGACAGGAATACTTGTTTATTGGCTCTGCCCTAACAAGAATGTAAGTTCTAGGAGGGCAGAAACCCTGTCTTATTTTCCAGCACAGTATAGAACACAGCTCAAAGTACTCAGTAAATCAGAACGGAGAGGTCATGGAAGGATTCCCAAAGTGGTTAATACTTAAAATTAGTCTGGGAGAATGAATGGAATGTAACCAGATGGAGAAATGAGGATAAGGCAGTGGCAAAATATTTATATATGAGGGTAGTATTTAAAACGATTGGCAATTTGCTTTGTATTGTTTACTGGCAAAGCCGCCAGCCATTACTTCAGGTGCTAGAAAGAGCCTTTCTCTCACTATACTCCTCTACCTCCACCCACAACATCAGCCTGCTCTCATTTCTCAACACATGTGTGTACTTTTTGTTAAATTTAGAGACTGACTCTAGGGTAACTAATGTTGGTGCTTAATGAACCACAAATACAGTATTACTCACAATACTATGAATAATTAATATGCCAATAAAACTAATGCAGTTACGCCTCATTAGTAGAGACCTATTGACATCTTATTGTATTATCTAAACATCAGATCAAATATTAGAAGGCAAAGAATAAACCTAAGGAAGGTAATCTCAATGTAAGGGATCTGCAATCATGACAAATAGAAACAGCAAAATGAAATAAGGATGTTTGGTCTTAGGAAGAAAATACTTAAGGAAAAGTTAATAGCTATTTACAGCAATTTACAGCGTTATTATATTAAGTAAGTAAGAAAGATATTCTCTTTTGGTGCAAAGAATACATGTAGGTTTAGTTTAATAACAAAAGATTTCTAACAGTTTGGTATGTCTGACAATAAATTGCTTTTAAAAGTTATGAGTTTGTGAGAATTGGAGTTCCAATGATGATAAGTTAGCTTGGATTGCAATAATCTTTCCCTAGATAACACTAATAAACTCTGGGAAAAACATAAAATAAAAACTATTTGAAGGCACTGGGGAACAATCAAAAGCTGACAGAAACTGTAAGGGATCTGACTGGTAATATTGTTTGGATATTTGTCTCATCTAAATCTCATGTTGAAATGTGATTCCCAATGTTGAAAGTAGGGTTTGGTGGGTGGTGATTGGATCATGGGGTTGGGTCCCACCTCCACATGAATGGTTTAGCACCATTTCCGTGATAAGTGTGTACTTACCCAGTTATTTCACATGAGATTTGGTTGTTTAAGAGTATGGGACTTCCCCCTTATCTCTCGTTCCCTCATTCATCATGTGATGTCTCTGCCGCTGCTTTGGCTTTTGCCATGAGTAAAAATTCTGGAGGCCTCACCAGAAGCCAAGCAGATGCAGGCACTATATTTCCTGTACAGCCTGCAGAACTATGAGCCAATTAAAACTCTTTTCTTTATAATTTAGCCAGCCTCAGATATGTCTTTGTAGCAACAGAAAAACGTGTTAATGTAGACTAGTGGTACCAGGAGTGGAGTGTTGCTATAAAGATACCTGAAAATGTGGAAATGGCTTTGGAACTGGGTAATGGGAAGAGACTGGAAGAGTTTAGAGGGTACAGAAGAAGACAGGAAGATGAGGGAAAGTTTGGAACTTCTTAAATGGTGAAATGGTTCTGATCAAAATGCTGATAGAAATATGGATAGTGAAGTCCAGACTGAGGAGGTCTCAAATGAAAATGAGGAATTTATTGGAAACAGGAGTGAAGGTAGCCCCTCTCACACCCTTGAAAAGAACTTAGCTGCAGTGTGTTCATGACTTAGGGTTCTGTGGAAGTTTGAATTCAAGAGTGACCACCTAGGATAACTGGTGGAAAAAATTTATAAGCAGCAAAGCATTCAAGGTGTGGTCTGGCTGCTTTAACTGTTTACCATCAGTTATTGTAGCAAGTAAATGACTTAAAGTTGGAACTTAAATATAGAAGGGGAGCAAAGTATAAAAATCTGGAAATTCAGAACCTGGCCATGTGGCTGAAAAGGGAAAGACATTTTCAGGAGAGAAATATAAGCAGGTTGCAGAGCAGCAGCTTGCTAGAGAGATGAGCATGACTAAAAGGGAACCAGGTGATAATATCAAAGACAATGAGAAAAAGATCTAGAAGGCATTTGAGAAATCTCTAAGGTAGACCCTACCATCAAAGGTCCAGAGGCCTAGGCAGAAAGAATGGTTTAGTGGGGCAGGTCCATGGCCCTGATGCCCTACACAACCTCTGGACATTGTTCCCCAAATCCTGGCCTCTCCAGCTGCCTAGAGTTCGAAGGGCCTATGGCATAGCTTGAGCCACTGCTTTGAAGGGCATAAGCCATAAGTCTTGGCAGCTTCCTTGTAGTGTTAAGTATGCAGGCCCACAGCATGCAAGTTTCAAGAAGACTTGGCAGCTTCACCTCGATTTCAGAGGATGTATAAGAAAGCTTGGCTGCCCTGGCAGAAGTCTGTTACAGGGGCAGAGCCCTCACAGAGAATCTCTACTAGGGCAACACAGAGGGGAAATGTGGGGTTGGAGCCCCCACACAGAGTCTCCACCAGGGCACTACCTAACAGAACTGTGGAGAGGGAGCTGCCAGCCTCCAGATCCCAGAATGGTAGAGCCACTGGCAGCTTGCAAAGTCAACCTGGAACCAAAACAGGCAACCAACTCCAGTCCATAAGAGTAGCCAGATGAGCTATACCCTCCAATGCCAAAGAGATGGAGCTGCCCAAGGTGTTGGGAGCCCACTACTTCCATCAGTGTGCCCCGGATGCGGGACATGGAGTCAAAGGAGATTTTGGAGATTTGAGATTCAGTGACTGCTCTGCTGGGATTCAGACCTGTGTGGGGCCTACTGCCCCTTTCTTTTGGCCAATTTCTCCCTTTTGGAATGGGAATGTTTACCCAATGCCTGTGCCACCACAGTATCTCGCATGTAAATAACTTGTTTTCGATCTCACTGGCTCATAAGTGGAAAGAAACTTATCTTCAACTGAAACTTTAAACTTGTTCCTTGGAATTTGGGACTTTTGAGTAACACTGGAATAAGTTATGACTTTGGGGAACTACTGTGAAGGCAATATTGTATTTAAAAATGTGAAAAGGACATAATTTTTGAGGGTCTAGGAGTAGAATAAAATGGTTTGGATGTTTATCCCCTCAAAATCTCCTGTTGAAATGTGATTCCTAATATTAGAGGTGGGGCCTGGTGGGAGGTGATTACATTATGGGGGTGGCTCCCCGATGAATGGTTTAGCACCATCCCCTTGATGATAACTGAGTTTCTGAAAGAGTTTGAAAGAGTCTGGGACCTTCCCCTTCTCCCTCTTGCTCTCTCTCTCCCCATGTGACATGCCTACTCCTGCACTGCCTTCTGCTATGAGAAGGAGCTCCCTGAGTCCTCCCCAGAGGCAGAGCATATTTAGGTGCCATGCTTTCTGTGCAGGCTGCAGAACTGTGAGCCAACTAAATCACTTTTCTTTATAAATTACCCAGCTTCAGGTATTTTTTTGTGGTGATGCTAGACACTTTCCCTGTGGGTACTCCCAGTTCTCAGGTGTAACGTAGTAGAACTCAAGTAGAATGCATTAGAATTATTGAGTTGGGATACTGGTGTAGAGACTTCAGACTATCAGAGTGGTTATAAATTAAGAGTAATCCCAGAAAGTAGGGAGACACAGAGATAATAACATTAATACCTGTCAATTAAAAATCCTCAAATCCTTGACTCACCATGGAACTGTACATCTACTGGGGACACTCCAGTGATACCAGCAGAAGGTAGCAGCTGAAAAGACTGGACAAAGATTTCAGTTGCTGCATATAGCAAATTAAATACTGTTTGGAATCTGAGTAACATCAAGGATAGAGGAGGCTAGTAAAATCTTCAGGCATTCAGTAGTTCTGCCTTAAAGTATAAACTGATGGCTCCAGATGTTAAAGGTGATCAGCCCTCAAATGCCTGCCAGAAAATGATTTCTCTGTAGAGGAAGAAGGCATAACTCAGAAAAATTATTTGCAATGTCCTATTTGTAATTTAAAAATATCCATTGTAAGTAAAAGAAAATCATGACAAGGTGAAACACATGTTGGTATAAAGTAGTAAAACAGTATGTTAGGCTGTTCTTGCACTGCTAAAAGGAATACTTGAGACTAGGTAATTTATAAAGAAAAGAGGTTTAATTGGCTCATGGTTCTACAGGCTGTACAGGAAGCATAGTGATAGCATCTGCTTCTGGTAAGGCACCAAAAAGCTTACAATCATGGCAGAAGGCAAAGGGGGAGCAGGTGTGCCCTGAATTATTCTGTGGCAAAAGCTGGAGTGAGAGAGAGGGGAGGGGACACACTCTTTTAAATAACCAGGTCTCATAGGAACTATCAGAGCATGAACACACTCATCACCAAGGCAGTGGCATTAAGCCATTCACAGGGGATTCTTCCTCCTAATCCAAACACCTCCCAACATGCTACCTTTAACACTGGGGATTACATTTCAACATGAGATTTGGCAGGGACACATATCCAGACCTTATCAAACAGTTACTATAAGTTAAAAAGTTAAGAAAATGATGGTCTTAGTGAATGAACAGATGTGAAATCTCATCAAAGACAGAGAAGCTGCCCAAATGAACCAAATAGAAATACTAACACTGAAAAGTGTTAATTTTGTAATGGACTTAACAGCAAATTGAAATAAGGGTCAGCATATTTTTGAGAGAGATCCATAGAAATTATTAAACTTAATGAGCAAAAAACCCAGAAAAATGTAAATAAAGTATTGGTGAGCTGTGAGTCCATATCATATGGTCCAACATACAATTAATTGAACTGAATTTCCAGAAGGAAAAGAGAGAGAAATGGGGATAGTGCAGTAATTTAAGGAAATAATGACTGAAAGTTTTTCAAATTTGTTGAATAATACCTACCTATGTGTCTTTGAAGCTCAGAGAACCACAGTAGAATAAATACAAAAAGAGCCATGCATCATAGACTAACTGCAGAAAACCAATGATAAAAAGTTATTCTTAAAACCATTAATATGAATACTATCAGATTAAAATGGAGGTCAAAACTGTTGGGGAATAAAATAATCTGTACACCCCAAATTCTGTAACCAGTAAGAATACCATTAAAACATTCATACAAAATAACAACATTTTTAGAAATCTAAAAAGAATTTGTAGCTGTTCTGCACTACAAGCAATACTAAAGGGGTTGGGTATAGCGGCTCACACCTGTAATCCTAGCACTTTGGGAGGCCGAGGTGGGTGGATCACCTGAGGTGAGGAGTTCAAGAATTGAGGAACTGTAGTTATAAATTTCTTAACTTTATGTGAAGTGGTACATTATTAATTCTAAGTATACTGTGGTAACATAAGAACAACCAGTGAAAGGGAAATAACACAAAGAAATACAGGTTAGAGCAATAGAGCAACTAAAATGGGATTAGTATAAAAAGTAGTGAATTTGTCATCCCTGGAAATGTTCAAGTTGGAAAGTCATCACATCAGGAAATTTCAGAAAGACAGGAGATTGAGTTCTTCTTCCCCTCAAACGTTGTGATTTTGGTTATATGACATACCTGATTTTATTTTAATCCCTCGAAGTGTTGGGAACCAGGCCAACCCTGTGTGTGGGTGCCCTTAGTCCTGGCGGTGACCAGGGCCTGAGAAAAGGAAATAGAGACAGAGACACAAAAGTAGAAGTTACAGCATGGGTCCAGGGGACCAATGCAAGTGTGGGAACTGCACTGGCCCTGACCTCTGGGCTGGAAGCACTTTTATTATGTGCATAATCTCATTGATCTTATGGGTGTGAAAGGGGATGGTGAAGATGTAGGTAAGATAGCCAGGGTGGGGAGAGCTCTTGAGATCCTTCTAAGACATACTAAACTAGTGAGCATTTTATAGCACTTGAGATCCTTCTAAGACATGGTTATCAGGGTGCGGCTGCATCGGAAGTATAGTGGATGAGGAGCCACCAGGTCTGACCACACCCAGTGCATCACGGGGCTTTTATCTCGGGAGCATTGAGGACGTAGAGCAATTAAAATCACTCCATATTCTGAGAACCCTGGCAGAGGCTGAGGTGTTCCGTGATCTCTACCCTGCAAGGCTTTTCTTCTCCTTGCCAGCTCCCATCTGCAAAGACCCTCCCAGATCTTGTGAGTAGAGGTCGCCTCCCTTCTCAGAGATCTTTGCATAAGCCCTCTTTAGGAGACTCTCGTGCAGTCTCCATGTTGAGAAGGCATTCATGAGACTGGAGCAGTATTGCCTGCTCTGCAACCACCCCGAGGTGTACCCAGGTGTTATTGTGCTCCAGGATGGTCTTTACCTTAGGCCTGCTGTTGCTGCTTAATTTCTAATTAACTGCACCAATACTATAGTTTAGTTCAGTGTATAAACTTCAGTGTACTGTGAGCCAAGCAAGCTTATAATTATTTAGCTAGAATTAACATAGGTCTCCCCCTGGCCATCTTGACCCACACAAAGCAGTATGTTTCACAAGACATGTTTTGCTCTTGAAATTTTTGGCATCTTTCATGTGGCCTCTGTGGATGTTTACATTCATAAGCTCAATTACTTGGCCTCTTTCATAAATTTAAAACAAAGGTAACACATTATTATAATTTACTGTAATTTCACCACCAGTTTCTTTGTTTTATGCTTTCAATAAACCATTATGTCTGCATTTGAAAAATGTTCTGTGCAATTATTACTGAAAAGAACAGTATGAATTTTTAAATCTATTCTCACAGGAATATTAACAAATAACACACATATAAAGAAAAACAGAAAATTCTAGAACTCCACTCCCACATCGCTTCCCCTATCCAACCTTCTCCCACAATGAGGTTCTGCCAAGTACTCCTTAGAGCTTAATCAAACTTACCTCTGTCCAATTCTGATTCTTTGTAAGGTCAGACGACCTTCAGGTTCTCCCACTTCCTGTCAGTGTACTGTGCTTCTCCCTAAGCATCACCACAGAACTTAATCCCATTGGTTTGAAGAAGTATTTGTGCCTAAAATAAGTAATTAACAAATGCCATTTTTCTCCAAACGTCAGAAAGCATGGGCAATCTGCTCCCCCTCCCCTCTTTCTTGGCGTCTCTCCCTCCTTCCCTCCAAGATCAAATTGGCCTCCCCCAGCCCTGTGGAAAAGAAAACAGAATTCCTGGGCCCCGCGCCCAGGTGTTTCCAGCCAGCACTGCATTGCCAAGCCGAGGACCTGGGGGTGGGCTCCAATGCAAATCAAAAAGGCTCTTGAGAAAGAGAGGTTTCTTCATTTTCTCTCTAGGCACAGTAATCTATCAGCAAATCTCCTTTTTCCCAGGCCCTGCAACCTACCCCTCTGATTGGAAGTGACTGTGGGGTGGCTTTTTTCTTTCACCTCATCAGAGCAGTGACAACTTGGTTTCTCCATTCTCCCTCCCCCTAGGCTTTTGGGTTTCAGCGGACTTCACTGTGCCCCACCCCTTCCAGGAAGACGCACTCGCGGACTGGCAGCTCTCCCAGCGCGGGGCGGGGTGGCCGCGCGAGGGGAAGGAGGGTCCAGGCGAGCCTGACCCACCCCCGGACCCCGCGCTGACTGTTTCTAAGTTGAAAAATCCTCTTCCGTCTTCTTTCCCTGCCTCCGCTCCTTTCCCTTTCCTCTCTGCAAATATTACTAGACCCCGCATCTGGCGTCGCCGGTGCCCAGCAGTCTGCGGGGCAGGCGGTGAGTGGGGCCGGAGAGGCGGGCGCAGAGCAGGACGGGGTGGCGTGGGCGCCCGTCTGTGGGGCCGAGGGTGTCGTGCGGGGAGGCGCGGGGGTCGCGCGGCGTCCTGCGCCGGCAGTTCCGGACATGGCGCTCGTCCCGCATTCTCAGGTGGTTGTAGAAGTTTCGTGGTGTCGGGTGCGCGTCTGCGGTGGAGACGCAGCGGGTTTGGGCGCCAGCTGTTTGCAGCCCTGGGATAGGGATCTGGCCGCACTTCACGGGCGCCTCCCTCGCGGTTTGCTCGGACGTGACAGGTCGCCTGGTTGGGCTTCTCTTGGGTCTCCAACTGGCGTTTCCACGGCGCGGCTCTCAGGGACTCAGGCCTGGGCCCTCGCAGGTAAAAATGCTTTATGGTAACTTCGTTACGTGCTCCGGCGACTGGAGGCGGTGACCGTCGAGAGCCCTCTCTCACGTTGTAAATTCTGGCAAACTGGGGCGATTTGGGGCTGTGCTTGATTTGTTTCTAAAAATAAAACGTTCATATTTAAAGACTTACAATTTTCTCTTATTTTGTGGCTTTATCTTCCCTTAGGATCTGCAATTTAGTTTTTAATTTTATATTGCATTTAAAATGGAGCCACCAAAATAGGTACAGATGGAGGTATAATACACCAAACTTGATACTGTTTAAAGGGGAGTAGATTTCATAATTTAGATTGCATTCTCCTGTAATAGTCATAGAAGACAACCTCCTTCTATCTGCTCTCATGATTAACTGTGAAATACTAGTAGCCTTGCCATTATTAAATTTGAAAAACACAGGAATGCTAATCATTACGCTCTGTGACATGGTTTTGAATCCTATGGGCGAGTGACAACAGGTTGGGGAACATATTATTACTCTATGCACGATGTGATTATATACCTTAATATCCATAGGAAGCACTGAAATTTGATGGGAACCGTAAGTGAATTTATCAGTGTCCAATTGCATCATACTTAATTTGTAGGAATCAAATGATGTTTATACATAAACTAGATAATACAGTAGAAATAAGTAAAATTCAGTTTGGCATGAAATAACATACAATTGAGAAGTTATTTTTAAGAAGATATGAAAGGTATGCATGAGAATCCAATAAAAAACATAACATTTTTCTAGGTAAAGATATCATTTCTCTAAAACAATGTATAAATAGAATCCTAACTGAATATTTTTGTTAATGTTTTTAACTGTACTGTTTAGCTCATGTGGAAGAACAAACGTTATATATTAATATTATGTATAATATATTGCAAATATAAAAATGTATATTTTATAAAATATAATTTTGACATATATACACACATATATAGTGGAGACTTCTTCATATAATAAAAAGTGTTACAAAACTGTGTTGATTAAAAGACAATGGAATAGACCTACTACCAGATGTGCAAATGAAACTGAAGGGACATTTAAGAATAAAAGGAAAGCTGGCATTTGATAAGCATACATTTTAAATCAGTGGGTGGGGAAGAAGAAATAACATTTAATTGAGTGTACTTGGACAAACAGGTATTTATTTGGGAAACCTAATAATAAAACTGAAACTTTTCCTCACTGTTAATAGACAAATGTAGTGTAGATGGCTTACTAGTTTAAATCTAAATATGCAGCCTAAAAAGGAAAAAAGAAAGCCTGAATAGATATCTGTGCACACTGCATGTGGGAAAAGCATTTCTAAGCATGATACAAAAACCTAGACTCACTTAGGGACATGATTTTTATTAATATTTGCATCCCCCAAAAAGGATACAAACTGGGGACATTGTTAATAGAAAAAAAAGAGTCAACTCAAAGGAAAAGAAATGCAAATATTAAGCAGAGTGAAGACTCTTAGCCACACTAATTATCCAAAGAAACATAAAGACATCAATTTTTGTATTAATTTTACAAATATTGAAAGTCTGATAACTTTTGGTGGTGTTGAAAATGCAATGAGGGAAATATAATTTTACAAACTTTTAGTGGAAATGTGAATTGGTGAAACTTTTTAGGATTAAAGCTGTTCAGATTTACAAATGTTCATTTACTTATTGGAATTTATTCTGCAAAACATGCTGCCAAGTGTACAAATAAAAATCTCTGTCAAAGATGTTTAAAGTAGAATTGTTTACAATATAGAAAACATGGCTACAACTCTGTAGCAACTGATTGGGAATTGGTTACATATTTTGTGATATATTCAAAAGTGGACTAATATACAGTTTAAAACATTGTAGCTCTAAATGTTCTAACTTGGAAATAAGTCCAAAGCATATAAGAAGTTAAAGTTAAAACACAAAATGGAAAAAAGAACAAGTTGAAACACACTGTGTGTGTTTGTGTGTGTGTGTGTCTGTGTAGTGCGTAGTGTAGTAATGATATTTTTGTAAATAATTTGGAATATAGGCTGAATTATATATTATGGGTAGTGATGTGATATTACGTATATTTATAATGTGTGCATGTGTATAAGGAAAAATTGATAATGATTGCTAATTTATACAGAATGTTGTCTTCTAGAATATATTAGCTGTCATTTACTACAGAAGAAATGTATTTCACAAAGCTTTCCGTATTGCCTCATTTTTTCTAAGTGTCCTCTTTCAACTGCTTCCTTTAAAATCCCCTTCCTTTTTCTTCTTCCCTAATATTGATGGTTATGATATTTATTGCAAGCATAGTAGTGAAGAATTTTGCCTGAGGGATTTTACAACCAGTTAACGTTCATAAACAAAATATACAGAAATGTTCATGGTCATATATGACAGCATTGTACTAAAATTCAGTTTTATAGTACTCATCCTTCAGGATGAAAGAGACAGGTATACTGTTCTTTAAAAAGGAAAACGTCTAAGATTGGACTACAAAACTTGTTTTGAATTGCATGATAAGGCTGGGTGGTGGTGATAATGCCCGTCATCACAGCACTTTCGGGGGCTAGGGTAGGCAAATTGCTTGAGCCCAGGAGTCTTAGCGCATCCTGGGCAACATGGCGAAACCACACCTATAAAAAAATTTAAAAATTGGCCAGGCATAGTGGTACTCACCTGTAGTCCCAGCTACTTAGGAGGATGAGGCAGGAGGATTTATTGAGCCTGGGAGGTCAAGGCTGCAGTAAGCCATTCCAGCATGGGCAACAGAAAGAGACCCTGTCTCAAAAAGAAAATAAAATTGCATGACAAAAATGCAGTAAAGACAAGTGTTAAGTTTTGAAAAGATAATTTTAATATAAAATGTTAACACCTTTCATATAAAGAAGACAAAACAAAATGAAAAGCTAACAGAGAAATGAACAAATGACAAACAGGCAGTTCACAGAAATAGAGTTACAAGTTGCTTTCAAACAAATAATAAAAGTGGCCCAGCCTCCTCATTATAAGATATACAGAAAATAAAACATTTTTTAACATATCAGATTGACAACTACAAAAATGTTGATAAAATATTGTATTAGAAATGTAACTTTTTGTCTGGAGTCTAAATTGATTCAAATTCTTTAGAGTGCAGTTTGATAGTATCTTTTAAAAATGTACAAAACTTCGATCCACCAGTTCTGCCTCCAAGAATTTAATGCACAGATGCACAGGAAGAAAATATAATTTTTTTCAGCATTTTTGGTAATAGCCTGAATTTGGATACAATTTAAGTTTTTGTCATTAAGCAGCCAGTTAAATTCATTATGTTGCTCACTTCCTCCTCCTCCTGGATCCTCCTTCCTCCTTAAAAAATAAAATAAATAAAATAAATAAATAAATAAATTCATTATGTTGCAGTCCCTAAAAAGAATAAGGTTATATGAAATTTAATCAACATCAAGACATTTTAACAAACAAAAGAAAAAGACAAAATTGTATTGATTGTCATTTGTATAAAAACCGTATAGATTAGTTTATATATGTTTAGAAACTCTCTTAGAAGACAAAAAATCTAATGTCTATTCTTACCTTTTGAATGGGAAATTGGAATTGGACTAAGGTTTTTTTTTTTTTTTGTATAAATATATTGTGTAAATGTATGCATTGCTGACTCCTTGAATTATATTTGTGTGCGTTTGCACATATGACTTATTTCTTAAAGTCTGTTTTCATAAATGTAAAGTTTCTTATCAAAATGACTTAACTGTAAGCCACATGACATCCTATTTTACTACAATTTTAAATATTAAAAGACTAACTGTATAAGATACAATTAAGTACATATAGGTTACATGTAATTCTAATGAAGATCATGTGTATCTATGGGACATTTCTGCTGCAACATATTTTATCAACATGGACCTACACTTATCTTTTGTGCAAGCCTGGAATTAATTTCTCTAATTCAGCCCATGTGACAGAAACTTATTAAGTTTACAAGATGTCTACAGAAATGACTGAATCCTTCAGTCACTGAACTTTAATCTACTCATATTGAACCCACTGAACTATCCAGTTCCCTGTAGCCAAGAAACCCATAATACCAATCAACACAGTCCACTATAGGATCCAAGAAATTTGGGTTAAAATCTATAAAGAGGATAGTACTTGGGAAGGTGTGCATAAAATTTCATCTTTGATGAACATGCAAGTATTTTTAGTTACAGATTCACTACAAGAGAGTACATTGTTAGGTTTTTAAAATTATTTTAAAAACTCAGTTTATATAATCTATTATACATTTATTGTAGAACATTTAAAGAGGAAATGTTTATATCTTAGCATATTTCCTCCAGGTTTTCTATACTTTTTAAAAACATTCTATCATCATGATTTTCTAGATTATATGTTTAACATCTGAATGTAAACATTTAATGATTTTTACAAAACTATTTGTTACTATATTTTTAAAGAAATATGATTTTATCATAATGTTCCACTATAATATGTTTACTTAACAATTGTACTTGATATTTTTGTAGTTTACAATTACTATTATTTTCGTTATGTATTCCTTCTGTGAAAATGAGAATCTATAACTTAAAAATCTTTTATAGCATATTTTGGATTTATTTTGA